ATTCACAAATTTTCTTCAGTTTTCAAGTTTTTAATTGAATACCTTGGAATGGCTGCTATATAATACTAACTCCAATAATGATAGGAATAAACCTAAAACAGCACAAAGCACATGTTTTGTATTCTTGCCATCTTAAGTAGTCTGAGTGGAATGTTACAGAGCAAAGATAGTACAGGAAATCAGGAAATGACAAGGAATGAAGCTCAGTAAATGCATTGAGACCAACTCTTTAGACCCATATCAGCTGCCAGAAGCCAAACAGGATTTGAACTTAATTCATGGAATGGAGCTTGTCACACAGACACAGTGCAAAAATTACTTTTAATTTTTTTTTTAAAGTACAATAACTTTATAGCAATAAAATTAGGGAGGATTATCAAATTACAGAATTATTTTTCTCTAGATACAATTAAAGAACAGCCTGATGGAAGTCCTTATTAAAAGTGGCATTACCATTAGTAATACTGTTCTGTAAAGTTGGCAACAATACAAATACCCAATTGAAAACAATTTATTGTAAGTACATACCAATTAAACACACTTAAATTATTCACACCTACGTAAACACACAAAAAATATTGAGTGGAGTTCCGGCAAAGCTTTTTTGGACACAAAAAAGGACGTGTTATATAAGTGTCTCATATTCTCCGTCAATGTTGAACGTCGTCCAAAGTTAAGAGTCTTATGACTAAAACACGCACATTTTTAAGTTAGTTTTGAAAGTTATTGTGAGTAGAAGAGAAAATGATAGAATTTTCAAGATGAAATGCCATTGATAAGAGTATAACATGAAACCCACAAAAAAATTAATTGAAATTCAAGTTCTTGAACATAAAATAACCAGTCAAGTAAAATATCAGAGGTAACTGAACTATTTACACATCACAACCAATATACGTTTTTTTAAAAATAAAATACAGTATATTACGTGGAAGAAATCATATGAAACAGTAAAAGATCAACAAGGTCTCCTACTACTCCTCATCTCACAAAAGGAGATCTGAAAGAAGGCAGGAAAAATAAATATATATGAACTATGGACTCCTTTTGCATCATGGGGAAAGATGCTTTACAAAAGCACTGTTTGAACAAGGTAAAATATTACATACATTAACTATCACATTGAAGATACACAAAATTGACTAGAGCAACCAGCATCAACATTTTAGCACTAAGAGATTGAACTAATTCTCGTCAAACGATTGCTCAGTCACAATACATACTGTATGAATGTAAGTGGCGAGGACTGAACTGTTTGGTGAAGGGGTGGGGGGTAAGCGGGAACAAATCAGTAATCAGCCATATGGCTGGTATAGAGGGAAGGAACTCAGTTGCTTTATCAAATAAGCTGTCTTTTCTTCTGCTGGTTGCTGTTTAGAAATATATGTACCTATGTAAAACTGGATTGGTATTTCATGTTTACAAAAACCATAAACTGTAAAAGGAACATAAATATGACTGTGGGTTTTTCACAAACAACACAAACTTGATGAACAACATATACACCATCAAATAGTTATTTACCATATGTACACTTAATATGACTTAGTCATTGTCTTTTGAAAAAAAAAAAAGGCATTACTGTTGAAAATATTTCAAATTCATAAATTA